GAGCATGGAGCGCCCCGAGCCCGAGCTGATCCGGCAGAGCTGGCAAGCGGTGAGCCGCAGCCCACTGGAGCACGGCACCGTCCTGTTCACCAGGTGAGGGTGGCCCCGAGCCAGGGCGGGCAGGGGACCTGGCCAGGAATGGGTTCCAGGTGGCTGGCGGCTCCAGAGGAGGGAAAGCTGACTGCTGCCTGTGCACCGGGCGCCTCCAGATGTGCGCACAGGAGCCGGCCCAGGACCCCTTCTTGCTTCCCGCGGCACATCCGGCCCAGCGAGGCTCTCGGGGCGGAGTGGGTCCTCTCCGGAACCTCCTTACACTCGGGCCAGCAGACACCACCCCAGGCGCTGGCCTCCTCCCGGCTCTGCTCCTGAGTTTGTTCCTGGGATGTTGCAGCTCCAGGGGCGCCCGCCGCTGCCAGTAAGGGGAAACCGCCCGTGTGGGGAGGGGGCGCTGGGTGCCTGGCTGGCAGAGCACAGGGTCCAGGCCCCAGGAAAGTGCACTTCCACCAACTAACAGGGGGATCAACCTTTCCCAGGAAAAGACCAGGCTAGGACAGAGAACCCCCAGGTGGGGGAGGACAGATGCCCGAGTCTCACCGCCTGGAAGAGGGGTAAAGGGGGTGCCAGCCCCTAACGGGGAGGAGGAGTCAAATCTTCAACCTCAGCTTGAGGGTCTCTAACCACTCGGCCATCACAATGAGGCACGGTTTCCTTCCACCAGAGTTTTTCCTAAGCCAGCACAGAACTTCTGAGGAAGCTTTTGCAAACCCCAATCCCCAACCCCCCAGCCCTCCCCCCAAAATGGAAAGAAATTCACAGAGTTACCCAGAACCCAGATGCGCCCTCTCAGATGTGGCTGAGAGCTTCTGCTTTGTGTCTCCCGGCTTTCCCCTGCTGACTCAGGCCCCCTCTGTGGTTCCAAACTGTGTGACCCTAGGGAAGCTCCTTAACCTCTCTTGGCTTCTGTTTCCTCCATAAAATGGGTAAGGAGTTCTTAACTATTATTATCATCCTGGCCAGAGCCCCCTCAGACACATACGACTAGGAGATTCTGACCCCAAAATGGGAAGGGTTGGGGGAAGAGTGAGAGCGAGAGCCTTTTTCCAGGCTTTCTGTTTGAGAATCCCTTCTTGCCCCAGTCCCCTCAACATGCTGGGTCCTATGAGTGGC